TTGATAATGTCCAGCGCAGTTGTGGACGAAACGTCAGGAAGAAATTCCCATGGACCACGGCTTCAAAGCCCGAAAAACATTTCAAAATGTGATTTGGTCGGCCGTGAGAATCTTCATAGTCTGACGTTAAAAATGCGATGAAGATTTAAGTAAAACATTCCTAAATGTAATCTGACCGGCCGTGAAAGCCTTCATAGTCTGATCCCCAATATATTCCGCTTTTCACAGTTTTTCAATCGGCGACCTGTTTATATCCCAATCAGCTCGCTGCCGCTCGCCAAGCTATATTTGTTTCTTTTCAGCCCATTGGTCGAAGTGAGAGGGTCCTAAATGGGCGGCCTATCGTCATACACTGATAAAAAAGTGAATTGCTCAGAAAAGTAGCATTTTGGACTTTAAAAAAGTTGAGATGCGAAAAGTGGACCTGGCAGCGCTACGAATTTTCCTCAGCGGCCCAATTAAACAAAACGGTCGCACATAGATAGAGCAAGTCGGCAATAAACGTTGCAAACTGTCCCCAAAGCACCGATGTGGCCGGGTTGTTCGTTGGCTGCGATCCAGCTCTCTTTTGCATCATCCCCGGCATAATTAATCCAGAATCGAGCATCAGCAGGACAAGAGCTGCCCATGCCAGATTCGTTAGCGCTTTGCGACTTTTTCGCCGCATATTTAAAGCGCTCGGCTGTTCCATCAAGATGCACTTAACCAATAGTCAATCAATATTACTAAACTGTTGTAACAAAGCTTGTGATATTAATCGAGAATAAATCCATCGATTCGGCCGCTTCCGGTAATTTCGGCTCATTTATCATGCTTTTCCTGTACATTTATTGCATCCCAAACGCCATAAATTGCGTCTGGCTGATGCGGCGGCCACAATTTTTCCCCAGCTAATTCAACTTATCTTGTCGCTGCAGAAGAGGCTGCATGTTTTCAAAGCTGCCTGTGCCTCTTTTGCCACCTCGGCATTATTAAATGCCCATCAACACAAATCATTGTGCTTTTTCCAAGCCGGCGGAAAACGGCGCGAGCCCCATTCGTAACCATTTTTCATTTTCTATTCACGCCCGTTCGGTTTTCCAACTTTTCCTCTGCAGCGATATCGTTCGTTTGCATTCTTCTAGCAGTCGGCTAATCTTTCGTCTTGGGAAAAGGGGGGAAAAGCCTTGTTCTGGCGACCACAACGGAGAAACTTAAAAATATCTATTACTCACGCAGTAAATGAACTGATGAAGTCTTT